TGTCTGGTCGACTTTCACGCGGATTCAAACCTCAGATCTACCGATGTTGCTGTCTGATAATATACCGGCTGACGTTTACGAATCTTGTGCAGTTATTGTTTTTATCTCACATGAAAACTAGTTCTATTGTTTGCTTCTTGAGTGTGCCATTTTTCAGATGCAATTATTGTCAGTCATTAAGTGGACCAATCAACAGAGTTTTACCTATAATGAGAGCTGCTTAGCTATTTAGGTAAGGATTGAATGATAGATGTTGAAGATTCATCAAGTACGGTCGAGCTGTTCAAGTCAGTTCACGAGTCATCTTTAAATAAAGATTTAAAATGCAACTGAAATTTTGAATTTAAACTGCAAGTGTATTTCAAGGACTATCATGAAATGTCTATTTCTGGAAAACGAGTAAGATTAGAGTCAGAACCATTTTAAGCCTGACATTTAACACGATTAAAAAAAGCTGTTCAAGTCAGTTAGTGGGTCATCTTTAAGTAAAGATTTAAAATGCAACTGAAATTTTTAATCTAAACTGCAAGTATATTTCAAGGACTATCAAGAAAGGCCTATCTCTGGAAAATAATAAAAATTAGGGTCAGAACCCTTTTTAAGCCTAACATTAACAAGGTAAAAAAACAAAACGGAGAATGAGATTCAAAAGTAAATAATATATAGATTAAGCCAAGCCTAAAAGTGGAGCTCGCATTTTTTTTCGCACGTCTCAAGGGCACAACGCCTTGCCCCGGCTAGGACTAGAACCCGGGTCGTCCGACTCGGAGCCCAGTGCACTGACCGCTAGACTACTGAACAAAGCCGTGGCGTTGGCGTGCCCGCGGTAGAGTTGACCACGCATGTTAAAAGTAGCACCATGTACGGTCGTACGGTCGTACATCCAAATTTTTTCGGCTTGATGGGTTACTACTATTTTGTATAATTATGGAGCTCCGCTCTGCAAGCTCCGCTATAAAAAACGCTTGTATACAATTAATAATAACTGTCTGATCAAAGTAAAATTTCTATAAGAATGACATTTCATGTACAAAAAAAATTAAATATATACAGCTTTTGCAGAAGACATATTTCCCCCCCTCTTTTAAATTCCTAGTAATTTTTTATTATGTTTATTTCTCAATAAGCTTACCTATTTTTGGAAGTTTAGTATTAAGTAATTTATAACAGAAGGAGAATGAATTTTAGAGATTTCGATTTTATGCGAAGGTGTATAAACATAAGTCATTAACTTGAAGCATTGTTGTTTGTTTTTCAGCTCAAGGATCGTGTTTCTGTAAAAGACATTTCACTCTCAGGCGACAAGTTGGATCACAAAAATCAAAAGGTACCACATATAGGATAGTAAAAGAAAAAAACATGACAATCTTAGTCCTTTGTGAGGATTCGAACACTCTTGGACATTCTTGAGGATTCAAACCTCATCATAGTCAACATCGCTACAAAACGTTTTTACAGCAGAGTAGAAAGACAAATTCGTGGTTGAATGTATGTGAGGATTCAAACTTCACACTGTGCAATAACGGTATCAAATGCTCTACCAGCTGAGCTGAGAACAAATTGTGGGTCGTCCTTTTTTTAACGAATATACACATAAAGTTTGTGAAATTATAATTTCGGGTCGACTCTTATGAGGATTCACATCTCAGATCTACCGATGTTGCTATCAGATACTCTACCTGCTGACGTTTTTCAAAGTCGTGCCCCAAAAACAAAAAAGGTGGGTGAACGACTATGAGGCTTCAAACCTTAGACCTTAAAACTTCGCCATCTGCTTTACCAGCTGGGCAGAAAAAGAAATTTGGGATGACATTCGTGAGGATTCAAACCTCATTATAGTCAACATGGCTACAAAATGCTCTTACAGCAGAGTAGGAGAAAACATTTGGGTAAATTTAGGTGGGGATTCAAACCTCAGATAGAGCAAAAACGGTATCAAATGATCTACCAGCTGTGGCTGAGACGAAATATGAGTCGACCATTAGCAAACGTCAGTTTGGTACACGTTTAAAAGAGCATCAAAAAAGCGGTTTTCTTTTGCAAAAAGGAAAATTCAGCTTTATCGGAGCACACATGCCTAACTAACCATACAATTGGGTGGGATAATTCTAAAATTATCACCACTAATCGGCGTTACCACCAGCGCCTTTGTTTGGAGGCTTGGCATATTAACTCCGCCCACGCTCCTTTAAATCGTGACCAGGCGGTTTGCCTCCTGACGCCTATTTACACCTCGTCATAAAAAAGGCCGCTAATTGGTGATCATCTAAAAGGACCTCTTGTTGCAGCGTTTAGATCACCCTGATGAAGGCACTAGACAGGAGTGTCGAAACTTTAGGTCTGACTCGAACTATGTCTAATCGTTTATTGTTTTCTTCTTGAGTAGGCCATCAAAAGGTTTTTCAGATGTAGTTATTGCGGTCAGCTATTTAGTGGACCAATCAACAGAGCTTTACATATAATGAGAGCTGCTTAGATGTTTAGGTAAGGATTGGATCAGAGATAATTGAAAATTCATCAAGTACGGTCGAGCTGTTCAAGTCAGTTCACGAGTCATCTTTAAATAAAGATTTAAAATGCAACTGAAATTTTGAATTTAAACTGCAAGTGTATTTCAAGGACTATCATGAAATGTCTATTTCTGGAAAACGAGTAAGATTAGAGTCAGAACCATTTTAAGCCTGACATTTAACACGATCAAGGATTCAAACCTCATTATAGTCAACGTCGCTACAAACGTTTTTACAGCAGAGTAGAAAGACAAATTTGTGGTGAATGTGAGTGAGGATTCAAACCACACACTGTGCAATATCGATATCGGCAAAGCTGATAACAAATTGTGGGTCGTTTTTTGTTTTAACGTCAGTTTGGTACACGTTTAAAAGAGCATCAAAAAGCGGTTTTCTTTTGCAAAAGGAAAATTCAGCTTTATCGGAGCACACATGCCTAACTAACCATACAATTGCATCAAAAAGCGGTTTTCTTTTGCAAAAGGAAAATTCAGCTTTATCGGAGGCCTAACTAACCATACAATTGGGTGGGATAATTCTAAAATTATCACCACTAATCGGCGTGACCACCAGCGCCTTTGTTTGGAGGCTTGGCATATTAACTCCGCCCACGCTCCTTTAAATCGTGACGATGGCGGTTTGCTGCCTGACGCCTATTTACACCTCGTCATAAAAAAGGCCGCTAATTGGTGATCATATAAAAGGACCTCTTTTTGCAGCGTTTAAATCACCCCTGATGAAGGCACTAGACAGGAGTGTCGAAACTTTAGGACTATGAATTGTAACTTCTTCTGTTACATTCATTAAATCTGTAAACCAGAGTAGCATCAAACTATGTCTAATCGTTTATTGTTTTCTTCTTGAGTAGGCCATCAAAAGGTTTTTCAGATGCAGTTATTGCGGTCAGCCATTTAGTGGACCAATCAACAGAGCTTTACATATAATGAGAGCTACTTAGATGTTTAGGTAAGGATTGGATCAGAGATAATTGAAAATTCATCAAGTACGGTTGAGCTGTTCAAGTCAATTCACGAGTCATCTTTAAATAAAGATTTAAAATGCATCTGAAATTTTAAATTTAAACTGCAAGTATATTTCAAGGACTATCATAAAATGTCTATTTCTGGAAAACGAGTAAGATTAGAGTCAGAACCATTTTAAGCCTAACATTTAACACGATGAAAAAAAACTCCTCCCTCATTTAAATTTCTAATAATTTAATGATGTTTATTTCTGAATGAGTCCCCCTACTTTTTCAGGTTTAGTATTAAGTCATATAAAACAGAAAGAGAATGAATTTAAGAGATTTCTATTTCATGCGATTTTTTAAGTAAAAACACAAGTCATTTACTTAAAGCTCTCTTGTTTGTTTTTCAGCTCAAGGATCGTGTTTCTGTAAAGGAAATTGCACTCTAAGGCGACAAGTTGCATCACAGAAATCAGAGGTACCATTTATAGGATAGAAAAAGAAAAAAAAGACAATCTGAGTCCCTTGTGAGGATTCCATCCTCAAGCAGTCCGCCCATACAAGGCGATCCCAGCTGGGTGGAAAGTTTTGTGCGTTCCACTCAGTGCTTGTCTATTTTCGCTTCCCGAGGAGAGGTGCAGTGCAGATTGTCCATACTTCGGTCTTATCCTCTAGTACCTAGGCGTGAGCTCGTTTCGCTTTTGCTTTTATGTTTTTTATTTATCTTTCTTTTGTTTTTGATATGAGCAATGATCCGTTAAATAGGTCTCATGGCCAGGCCCATTTCGGGTATAAACATAAGTCATTAACTTGAAGCATTCTTATTGGTTTTTCAGCTCAAGGATCGTGTTTCTGTAAAAGACATTTCACTCTCAGGCGACAAGTTGGATCACAAAAATCAAAAGGTACCACATTTAGGATTTTTTCATTCTTGGACATTCTTGAGGATTCAAACCTCATTATAGTCAAAGTCGCTACAAAATACTCTCCCAGCGGAGTAGAAGAAAAGATTTGGGTTAATTGACGTGAGGATTTAAACCTCATAGTTCGCAATATCCGTAACTGAAGTGTGGACGTCTTGTATTCTGCAGCATAGACTTCTAGAACATTCTTGAAGGTCACACTACATCCTCTCTTCTTTGCAAAAACTGACGAACAGTTCATTAAGGAAATTACGAGAAGTCACATTGCCTATTGCAGTATATTAAATGTCTCTAAGGTTATTTAAACAGAACGAAGTCCTTATACTTTGAGTTTGGCTTGACTTGTCTCTGTGATCTTCTTACGCCTTGTCGAATCGGTACTGGTTCTGATTTTGATTTAATTTTTATGTCCCTCAACTGCATTTGTCCTGTTTCAATGTTGACTCCAGGTACTTCTATGAACTGTGGCTGTGGGGCAGTTGGCAAGGCTGCATCTGACTGTGTGGGTGGGCCCACAGGAGAGTATAAAGAAGGGTCTGTAACAACAACTTTAGGCGTTGTCATTTCTCTAGTTTTCCTAATGTGGCACCGATTCCTCCTTTACCTACAGCCATCGGCCTTCCTCATGTAGGATCTGTCAGATTCTCTTCTGACCACACTTCTTTGTGCCCACAGGGGCGACGACTGAGGCCACATCTTGGCGCGAATACTATCTCCTACAACAAGAGGGGGTAGCGGCTTTGTTTTCTTATCATAGTACCTCTTGTTCTGTTGCTTCTTCTTGACTGAAGCTCGTATGATGCTTGAGGTTGGTATCACCTGGGGTTCAAGCAACTCTGATTTCATTGGTATAACTGTTCTTGTTCTTCTTGAATTCAATTTCTCATTTGGTGATGCCAACTCATCAGGTGTATTCCTTTGTTCCAAAATAGCTATCCAGGGGTCGTGAATCATCTTGAGTATCCTCTTAGCTTGTTTGACTGCAGCTTCCGCTGTACCTTTCCCTTTTGGATGGTGTGGTGAAGAGGTATAGTGATGAAAGTTCCAACTCCTTAAGAATTCCTTAACTTCCTTGCTAGCATATTGAGGACCATTGTCTGATATCACCACCTCAGGGACTCCCTGTGGGGCGAAAATCTTCTTCATCCGTAATATTGTGGACTCAGCATCAGTATCATTCAGTTGCTCTAAGTCCCCGTATTTTGTGAGTAGACGTCTTACTTCACATTGAAAAGATCATTGCTGACTATTTGCCATCTTCTCTTTGGAATAGGCTGGCTCTGCATGGCTTCTCTAGGTTGATCTGGCCAAGCTTCCTGACATATTGAACAGATATCGCAGAGATATTTGATATCATGATGAATCAATGGCCAATACAATGTATCTCTCACAAGTCTCGTGCATCCCTCTGCTCCTAGTTGAGCGGAGTGTGTTTTTTCCTAACATCTGTGGGCGCAGAGCCGTGGGAATGAGCACTCTCGTTCCTCTGTAGATTATTCCATCCTGAACTGCTAGTTCATCACTTTACGGCCAGTAGTCTCGGACATTGGGCGGTACTTGCGTCTTGTCCTCAGGCCATCCATTAGCTATAGTTTCAGCTAAGGTCATGAGATTTCCATCTTGTGAGGTTGTTGTTACTACTTTCTGAAGGGTTGTATCTGTCATGTTATGAAAGATATTTGGATCTGTTCCTTCGATCTCTTTCATGAGAAGTTCTTCTGTAAAGACTTCATAATCATCTATTTCCTTCTTTTGCGTTCGGCCGTTTGAGAGGGCAGATCTTCACAGATGATCACTTATGTACATTTGAGTCCCGTTTTTGTGCACAATATTCAGGCGGTACTTTTGCAGTCGCAGCATCATGCGTTGTAACCTCTTGGGCGCGCTGTTGATACTTTTGGCAAGTATGGTTTCTTGAGGCTTATGATCTGTGACTGCTGTAATCTTTTCTCTTCTATGGAGATAGTGGTCAAATCGTGTACAACCAAACAGCAGTGCGAGGCATTCCTTCTCGATCTGAAAGTAACGTCTCTCAGTCTCAGTCATAGTGCGACCAGCAAATGCCACTGGTCTGCCGGCTTGAAGCAGAACAGTTCCCAGTCCATAGTCACTTGCATTTGTCTCAATTATTACTACTTCCTCCAAGTCGTAGTAACAGAGTGGTGGCGGTTCTGAAATCAGCTGAGTCAACTTGTTAAAGGCTTCTTGGTGAACTTTCGACCAAATGAATTGGTTTTGCTCATTGATTAGGTTTCTGAGAGGTTCAGATACGTCAGACAGCTGAGGTAAAAATTTGCCCAGATAATTGATCATTCCAAGTAGTCTTCTCACTTCAGTCTTACTGCGTGGTATCGGCATCTGAGTGATGGCTTCAACTTTGGCTGGGTCTGGTAAAATACCCTCAGAAGTCAAGACATGACCACAGTACTTCAACTTCTGTTGTTTGAAGACGAACTTGTCCTTGTTCAGTTTGAAGTTTCGCTCACTGAATCTCTGTAGCAACGCAATCAGATTTCTGTCATGGTCTGCCAAGGCTTCTTCATGGGTGTCTCCTGCTCCAGTTACTAACAGGCCATCAGCTATAGCAGCTACTCCTTCTAGGCCCTCAATGATTTCATTTACATGTCTATGAAAATATTCTGGTGCCTTACATATGCCGAAGGGCATCCAAAGCCACTTGTACCAAAAGGAGTGTGAAATGTTGGTAATTTGCTAGAGTCCTCATCTAGCTTCACTCGCAGAAACTCATCTTCAGCGTCCAGGACTGTGAACACTTGCGCTTTAGCAAGCTTGGAGGTCACACCATCGATGGTTGGAGGGCAGCGCTTTGGTATTTTGACATGCTTGTTCAATTCTCTGGGATCCAGGCAAACACGTAGTTGGCCATTGCGCTTCTTCACATATACTGCACTGCTCACCCAGTCTGTTAGTTCATCAACGTTCGCTATGTGGCCTTTCTGTTCCATTTCATGAAGTTTCTTCTTGAGATCGTCTCTCAGTGCGATGGGTACGGTTCTAGGCGCATCCTGTTTCGGTACTGCTCCTTCTGTCAGTTCAGTCTTGTAGTTTCCAATGTACCCTAGTCCAGTGAATACATCGTTGGGTTCTCGTAAAATAGCATCCTTGGTCGACCCTTTCACGTCAGAAACTGAGTTGACGAGTAATTGTCTTTTAATAGACAGGAGTTCCAACTCCTCAAATGTTTTTCCTGAGAACGGTGAACTTGGAGCATCATCAATCACTAAGAATTTTGCACTGGTTATTTTTCCACCAATCTGGATGTCAAGGTAGACTTCACCTTTGGGAAACACTCGTTTTCCATTGTATGCTTTCAAAATGGCACGAGGTTTCTTCAAATCTGGTCGGTTTTGAATCCTTACAAAATCTTCCATTCTCAAACAATTAGCCTCTAATCCGCTATCAATCTGCACGGTGACCTCAATCCAATTACTTGTCTGTCGACTTCTCAGCTGAGGTTTAATAATGTATTTAGAGCAGCTGCTGTCAATAACTGAATACTTGCAGTAAACTTCATCATCAATGATTGCTGATTCGACGTCTTCAATTCGATGAATTCTCCCCGTAGGTTTCTTTGGAAAGCTCTTAACAGGTTTCTGCGTTCTCCTGTGAGACTATTGATCTCGACTTCTGCACATCTTAGCAAAATGATTCATCATGTTACACTATCTGCAATTTTTCCATAAGCCGGACACTGGCGCAAATTGTGGCTCGTTCCACAATATTTATATCGTTTCACCGTTTCTACTCGTCGTGTAAAGTCTGGTTTCTTTTCTTTGTACTTGACAGCGTGTTCTGAAGTTTCTATTCCTCCATCAATCGTTTTCAGTTGATCGCTGGCTGTTTCTGCAGCTCTAATTATGTCTAAGGCTGTATTGAGATTGAGAGCCTTCTCACGGAGTAGTCGTCTTCTGACTTCATGGCTTTTGATTCCAATGACCAGTCTGTCTCGAATCAGTTCGTCACACAGAGCGTCATAAGCACAGGTTGACGCTAGCTTTCGCAGTCGGTTCAGGTATTGATCGATGTTTTCATTTTCTTGGCTGGAATTGTTCAACAGGTAACGCTCAAAAAAATAATATTCCTCTGTGGTTCAAATGCTGCGTCAGGGCCTGCAAGAAACTATCAGGATCTGTGCGATCAGCTACAGGCAGATTTTTAGCTATTTGGTAAGTTTCTCTTCCCAAAAGTATCTTAAGAGTTTCCAAAATGACTGGTTTGAGTTTCTTATCAAGTTCAGTTGCTATCTTATAGCTCTCCCAACTCTCTCTGAAAAAAGTCCAGTTCTCTGCCAGGTTCCCCTTGATACTCATTACTGGTGGCTTTGGTAACTGATTGTACATCATCAACTGTGTTGGTGGCACAATAGATTGCGCTAGAGGTGCTTCTGGAGGATTCTCTTGCACCGGAGGGTCCTCTTGATCCTCTATCCTGTTAATTCTTTTGTTGTCCTCGTGAGACGTTCGCTAAGTGTATGCTAGGCTCTGGCCATTCGCAGAAATGCAGTTTCTTCAATGTGTGAACCTCGAAATTCACTTAAAATTTCACAAGTGGCAGTGTATAGGGTTCCGGTCTGTCCAATAACACCGCTGGATTCTTTTAGCGCCCGCGATTAATTCTTCTGTCTTCGCTTGGATCGACAAAAGGTATCTTCAGTTTTGTAATCCACTTCCTGACACCATGAAGTGTGGACGTCTTGTATTCTGCAGCATACATCTTTATTGATATCTGTCGGGCTATACCAGCAACTAAACTACTCGCTACATCTAGTTACAAGCTCGGCGTTTATAGGTACGGTCGAGGATCAAGAACATTCCGTAACATTACAGCAGATTCTACTTATATATTGATTCGGGATGACTCAACATGATACAGCTACTTCTAGAATATTCTTGAAGGTCACAGTACATCCTCTCTTCTTCACAAAGACTGACGAACGGTTCATTAAGGAAATCACGAGAAGTCACATTGCATATTGCGGTTTATTAAATGTCTCTAAGGTTATTTACACAGAACAAAGTCTTTATACTTTGAGTTTGGCTGGACTTGTCTCTGTGATCTTCTTACGCCTTGTCGAATTGGTACTGGTTCTGATTTTGATTTAATTTTTATGTCACTCAACTGCATTTGTCCTGTATTAATGTTGACTCCAGGTAATTCTATGAACTTTGACCGTGGGGCAGTCGGCAAGGCTGCATCTGACTTTGTGGGTGGCTCACAGGAGAGTCTAAAGAAGGGTCTGTAACAACGAGTTTGGGCGTTGTCATTTCTCTAGTTTTCCTGATGTGACACCGATTCCTCTTGTACTCACGGCCATCGGCCTTGACTATATAGGATCTGTCAGATTCTTTTCTGACCACACTTCCTTGTGTCCACAGGGGCGACGACTGAGGCCTGATCTTGGCGCGAATACTATCTCCTACAACAAGAGGGGGTAGTGGCTTTGCTTTCTTATTATGGTACCTCTTATTCTATTGCTTCTTTTTGACTGAAGCTCGTATGATGCTTAAAGTAACTCTGATTTCATTGGTATAACTGTTCTTGTTCTTCTGGAATTCAATTTCTCATTTGGTGATGCCAACTCATCAGCTTCCGCTGTGCCGTTTCCTTTTGGATGGTGTGGTGAAGAGGTATAGTGATGAAAGTTCCAACTCTTTGAAAACTCATTAAATTCCTTGCTAGCATGTTGAGGACCATTGTCTGATATCACCACCTCAGGGAATCCCTGCCGGGGGAAAATCGTCTTCATCCGTAAGATTGTGGACTCAGCATCAGTATCATTCAGTTGCTCTGAGTCTCCGATTTTTGTGAGATTTTCCACAACTACCAAGTAGACGTCTTACTTCACATTGAAAAGATCAGTGCTGACATCTTCTCTTTGGAATAGGCTGGCTCTGCATGGCATCTCTAGGTTGATCTGGCTTAGCTTCCTGACATATTGAATAGATATCGCATAGATATTTGATATCATGATGAATCGATGGCCAATACAATGTATCACACGCAAGTCTCATGCATCCCTCTGCTCCTAAGTGAGCGGAGTGTGTTTTTTCAAACATCTGTGGGCGCATAGCCGTGGGAATGAGCACTCTCGTTCCTCTGTAGATTATTCCATCCTGAACTACTAG